GTAAATTGGCTCAATATGCATGGTGGTCAGTAACTCTTGTGCACTCTATGCCACTTCTATAATATAACTTTTAATTGTGTAAAGTATTCTGTTGCACGATCATGTAATTTTTTCAAAGGCCCCCTCTTACTGGAAAATTAGGTTGCTTCCTGTTTTTTTTTTTTKTGTTATTAACAGTGCTGAGATAAACATCCTTACAACTTTGGAGAGAGTAAAATATAGTAGCTTCATTCATAGACTCTGGAGACAATATGTCTGCATTCAATCTTTTATTAAATCTGTAAAACTTTGAGCAAGTCACCTGGTTCTTGATTTTTTTATTTTTATTTTTATCTGACACAGGGAAAACAATGGTACCTATTCCACGTAGGCCCCTGAGACTTATTTCATCTCAAGTGCTCAGAATAGAGTCTGTGGAAACACTTCAGTATTATTAATGAGTTAGATATTCAGCTATTATGAGTTGTTGGTGTCTTTACATATGTATATACTCATTTCTTTGAGAAAAATTCCCCAAAGAGGAATTGCTAGACAGAAGGCTTTTGAAATACTTTGCCAGAGTAAAGTATATAAAAGTCTCTAAAAAGGATGTGGTTATTTACTCTCCTGTAGTACTGTTTAAGAGTGCTGGTTTCTACATGGTGGGAAAGGTTAGCATTGTCACTGTATTGGCCTTGACATTATAATTATCCTACTCATGACTCAGGTTGCACAAATTTTCACAGTTTATCATCCTTGAAGTCAGGAAGCATCCAACCATCATTGTCAACCAGGTGACTTTCATGAAGTGTTTGTACAAAACCTTCTGTTGACAACTGCTAARATCAAGAAAGAGTGTCAGTGTGTCTTAACATCTATGAAATTCAATTTCACTGGGAAGATATGAAACAGGCAAACATAAATAAAAATTGTGATCTAAGTACAAAATAATTAAGGGAAAATATATTACATCTTAAATTGGATTTCAAAAATGTGCCTAAAGGATAGAGGTTGATGGACTATTTTTGGAACACTGGGAAAGATTGACAGAGGAGAGGACAGGTCTACTATCTCTACTTAATACAATTCTACTTCTTTCTTTTTGTTATGCATATAAGTATAAAAGATGATAATTATTGCAATTGCATACAAGTCCATGATGATATTCATGGACATTTTGGCTGCTACATGCATTATTTTCTCTGAGCGTAATGCCTTCAGCAGACCTCACCCCCTCACACCCCTGCTTCCTTTATCTAAATATGGTACACTCTGCATTTAGGACTCCGCTTAGGCATCATTTTAGCTGAGAAGGCTTTCCTGATGCACCAACAGTGGTTAAGTATCATTGCTGTGTTTCCCATTGTGTCTTACCCATATCCTTCCCTTACTAATTATTACACAGTATTTTATTACCTAACAATGTAATGTCTGTTCCATTAAACTGAAAGCTTCTAGAGATGTAGTGTATCGTTGTCTGTTGAACCATAGGTGAAGCTCCTTATCTGGCACATTGCAGGTACTTAATAGATTTCAACTGAATAAATCTCAGCTCAGCCAATGAATGTGACCTGTGTTTTCTGGGGTCTTTGGATGTTGCAGCCCTAAGGGTTCCAGTGTGAGTTCATTGTTTTGGCAGAATCCAATGTTTTACAGTTTTTCACTAAGGGTTGGAGCGTGGATTATGTAGTTCTGATTCTACACAGTAGTTTAAAATTCCYTTTATTTCTGACCTATTATGAGAGCTTATTAGAGCAAGCTGTCTGTGCCTGTCTGAGACCCTCATTAAGTTGTCTCTAGAAACATCTGCATGAATCTGGGCATATTGCATCTGAGAGCCCATTTCYAGCTGTTAGCACAGTAAGAGCTGAAACCAGAAGCTGAAAATGAGTCATCATTCACTAGCATTTAGGCTGCCTTCAACTTAATGTGAAACAAAATTTTGTTCCTTTACTTCTTTTTCCCTTTAGGATGTTCCAGCTCTTCCCTTGCTGTCTAAGTTTTTCTAGCTGTCTGAGAGTAACCAGCCAGTCACTTTCTCTTGTAGAGCGGAGAAGAAGATCCTGCCCCTTGAGATTAAAGTCTTAACAAAAAGATGTCAGATTGTTTGAATTTAGACTTTCTCTAAACTCTCTGTTCAAACATAGTGTGTGAACTTAGGATAATTGGCCAAATTCTGAACTAACATAAAGAGCAAATTCTGCTTCTTGTCTAGACAAAGTCAGCACACCCTGGACCTTTTAGGAATTAGGGAAGAAAGCTGGCTTTTTATGCTGTAGACTGTGAAACTCACTGGAATACATTTAAGAATGAGTGTTTTGAAGTAGTTAACTACAACAACTGAAGAAAGGAAAGGAAGTCACAGAGATGCCTGAATCCAACCCAGGCTTCTGTGTCCTCCCTGCTCTACTTCCTGACTATTTGTCTGTAAACTTCTCTGGGTGGATTTTCACCCTCAGAATAGCTCATATTGATGTACAGTATTCACACTGTGAGGTCTGTGTATCAGTGGCTTTTCAGGAAAACACAGCCCAAAGCAGGGAAGCTGTCACTTCAAAGCATGCCAGAGTGCTTAGATATAGCCGAGAAATTAACCATGTCGGCCTGATAATATCTCTTTAAAAGGCCCGGACTCTTTTTTCTATGCTGATAATTATCAATTGCTGCTATAAACTCATTTCTATCATGAGGACATGTCGGAAGGAAGTGTGTGTGTGTGTGTGTGTGTGTGTAATCCCAAGAAAATAGAGCTGGAACTGGTCTCCATCTGACTGCCTTTCTGGGAAATTGTTGAATGGGACGTAGAAAAGGGTCATGAAGCAGAGGAGAGACAAGTTCTGTCCCCTCACTGCTTCTTTCTACCACTCTTCTGTCATAAAACATGTTCTATAAAATGCGTGTGTCCAGAGCTCACTCTTATCGTAATGCCACAGTGGAAAATAACTAGACTCAACTAATACAATTTTTTAAAGTGCTTTTGACATGATTTTGGTATTCTTACCAAGGTAATTTTATTGGCTAAAATAGTCTTTTATGTCAATCAACCAATTTTCCTTGAACATGGGGAGCAGTTGGGTACTAATTCAGTATCTCAGGTTCTAAAACTTGGAATATGGGATATGAAACCCTTGGGAAGGGTTTAGCACAGAAGAATAGCAAAAAGTAAACAAACCTTTGGAAAATACGTAGAAGTACTGGAGTAACAGTATTTACTCTAGGGTCAAGGTTACACTCATGCATCGGGAATAAGATCCTTTATGATACACACATTGGTGATCAACTGGGTCAACTTTATTGTGAGGAGACGGGGGAAAAGATGACAAGATGGGATAATAGATTTGTCTTCATGGAAGGAAGATTTCCCCCATACTCTTAAGGATTGATGAACCAGGAAATGGGTTATAAAAGACTATGGAATTTACTGTGGGGGACCTATTTTTTCCCTACTTGGGAAAGCTAAGAGGACCTAAAGTAACATACCATGTAACTTTTTAAAATATATTTTTTTTTCCTTTAAGATCTCAGATTTAAAGTGTTACAATTTAAAAACCAAGTTCTGTTTCCCTATCCAGAGGCAATAAAAGAAACAACTGCTATGAATGACAATGGGCTTAAAGCTCATTTTGGAATTATTACCTAATCTTATTTAGTGAAAGAAGATTGTGAATTCTTAGGTAATTGCTTTCTTGATCTGCTTTAGGTTCAATAATTCTCTCTCATTGTTTTAAATTGTGTTAAAGTGTGTTTATTAAAATACTAATGAGACCAAAGCCATACTGATTAAAAATAGAATTATTCATTTAAACCTTTTGATATTATGAAATCAAAGGTGTACTCTAGTATTGGAAGATGGATCCTGCAATTCTAAAGAGTTGTTTGCTGTGTACCTAGAGTTATTGTTTTAAAATAATAGTTCATTCTAGATCTGTTGAAGTTACAAAATTTTTATGGAACGAAATGACTTTTTAAATCATAAAACAATTTATCCTAAGAGCTCTAGATAGGGTGCCTCTCTTCTAGTGATTTTTATAGCATCTAATTAATAAATAAATGCAGTGCTGGCTGGGCGATACATATTGAGTAGGTTTTGTTTATCAACTCCCTTTGTAATTTTTTAGAATATTTGCAACTGAGGTTTTCCCCCTTTCCCACTCCTCCTTTTGTGCTCATTGACTTTGTCTTGCAGCCTGTGTCTTAYCTGTTTTTGTTTTTATTTGCTCCCCATTTTCAGTTTCAGGTTTGTCCTCATTTTTTTTAAATAGGTCAGTAAAACTAAAGACATTAGCCCATTATTTTTCTGTGTTTCTTTGGAAGGTAGCTGGTTTACCCAATCACACACATGTTGACTGATACCTTGAAAGCAGATCTGCAGTTTCCTCCTTAGAGAAACCCAGAATGCAGCAGAGTCAGTCTGCTCCCCAGTAGCTGCCCTGCGTCCCTTCTCCTTCTTCACTGTCATCTGAAGGATCCGGCTCCCTCACTGATCTGAACTATTGCAGTTCTCCCTGCTCCATCTGTCTGCCTCTCATTGTTAGTCCCTTCCTGCGCTTTCTCCCATTTAGCAGGAAGCATATCTGTACCATCTCTCCAAGTTTAAATCCTTCATTACTGGTCACTTTTACTCGAGATGCAATCCACATCCCAATCTAACATGTATAAAAGCCACCATCTGAGATCAATCCCAGATGCCTGGCCAACACCCCTAGCCTCCTCAGCTCATTCATTCATTACTCTAGCCACATCAAACTCCACGCTCTGGGTACAGGAAAAAGCCTGGGCAAAGAAGTGGTACTGGAAAATGTGATGATCCTTAAGCAATGGAGTRATAGGATGTAGCCCAATTGGTGCTAGGCATGTTTGTGCAACATTGTCATGAGTTGGTGCYGGGGCTCTGGTGCCCAGTTAAGGAATGGTGACAGGGTTAGCCAGTCATTCTCTCTAAGGAGAGGAAACTGTCTGCAGAGTTTGTCATGATCCACATCTGTGCTCTGATACCCTCCTCTGTTTTTCTCCAACCTCAGCCTGTGATGGTGATCACTGGGGGCCTCACTGCAGCAGCCGGTGCCAGTGCAAAAATAAGGCTCTGTGCAACCCCATCACAGGGGCCTGCCACTGTGCTGCAGGATTCCGGGGCTGGCGCTGTGAGGACCGCTGCGAGCAGGGCACCTATGGTAACGATTGTCACCAGAAATGCCAGTGCCAGAATGGAGCTACCTGCGATCATGTCACTGGGGAATGCCGTTGCTCACCGGGATACACTGGAGCCTTGTAAGTGACACACTGCTGAGCAGTGTGGCAGAACCCACCCACTCTCTCCATTCCTGCTGTGCCACCATCATATTCCTTGTGCCTGGTTTCTCTTGCTGCCTGAATAGCTACTGACCAGTCTGGACTTCAGGCCTGGATAAGGAGATAACCACTAGATAATCCTGCTGTTTGGCTTTGAATGTCAGAGCTTAGTTAAAGTCCTAGGGCCAGCTTTCCAGCTTCCCTTTTGGTGAGGTGAAGGTAGTTAGAATGGCAATATTTGAGAAAGGTTGCAGCAGATTTGCATTTCTGCTCTGAATCTCTCATAGTTGCATTCACTGGTGACTGGTGACTGTCACTGGTGACTATTAGTGGTCCAGGTTGTTCTGCTCTTTGTGGCAATTAATTAGCTCGATAAGCTGGGTGGATTTATTATCTTAGAAAAGAGGAAAGGAAAGGAGGACTTTCTATTACAAATAGTTCATAATAAAAAGATTAACTTGGTTATTTAATACCCACAGAAACATGTTGCTTTGTGGATATAAAGATATATGTATCACATCCATGTAGAATAAATGCAAATACTTTATTTTTTTTCTGGAGAACATTGAAACAACTAATTAACCTCCCATTACTTTCTTTATTTCATGGGAAAGGCATTTTTCAGTTTGCTTCCATTAGCAAACAGAATAAGAGAATTTGCCACAAAAAAAGAAAAAAAAAACGAGAGAGAAAAACCTTGTTTCCTTACTGAGAAAATTACACTTGTAAATCACCAAACCAAACACTTGGAAAAAATGCAGCTGATTAGGTAAATACTTCCTGCCAGCAGTGGCAATGTCTATGAAACAGGACTAAAGAAAAAATACTGCAATATCCTGGAGAGCCCTGATTTTCAGAAGAATGGACGATCAGCTCACACTATTTAATTGGTAACATTGCTTTTATGGATTTTCATGAAGGTCACAGTTGAATAGGGGTGTGTGAAACTTGGAGTGGTTTCACAGGAGAGCAAAAAAGACAAAGGCTTGGAGAAGAAGGTCCTTATGACATAGGTTAAAGGAATGGACACTTGTCAGTCTGGAGAAGAGAAAGTTGAATATTGATTATGAACAATAGGTGCACAAAAGGGGCAATTTGCAAATGTTTCTACGATCTTTGAGGTTAGAACAAACACACTAACAAAAGTAGACTTACCTGTAGTGCAAGTTCTTTGTAAGAGTTTCATGGACAGTTCCTGTCACCAATGCATGTTTGGCCATTTTACTTCCAGGTGCTCTCAGGTAGGACAGATTTCCCTCGAACTGAACAGGTTTCATTAGAAAGTACCCCCAAACAAGAGAAGGACTGGGTGGCCCCTCAAAGATATGTCAGCCAATATGTATGATTAATGTTCTTGGAATTAATTAATGAATAATCATTGAATGGAGAAAGTTTGTAGGTTTTAGGGTCCTGGGTGCTGTTATGTCTATGAACCTGAGGATGATGTGGTTGGGTAAATAATGGTGTCTTCTGTTATACTTGAATCCCTCAGCTGTGAAGATCTCTGTCCTCCTGGCAAACATGGCCCACAGTGTGAGCAGAGATGCCCCTGTCAAAATGGAGGAGTGTGCCATCACGTCACTGGAGAATGCTCTTGCCCTTCTGGCTGGATGGTGAGCTTCCTTTCAACCCCGGCACCACCCCCCACAAAGACACCCAATCCAGGACACTCAGGCAAACACCCTGTGGAGGACATTAGTGCAAAAGAAAGTAGCAATGATGGTTAAAGGTTCCAGAATTGAAATTACTTATTCATTTAAAAACTCAAATCCTTTAGTCCAGAGAAGGCAGAAGGTGATTTAGTCCTAGACTTGAAGCACATTAAGGATCCTTAGGGAAAAAAAAATCGCAGCCATCTGTCCTGTATTTTCCCTAAGGATAAAAAGGAGACAAATACCTGGTCTCACACACGATAGCAAGAGCTGATAAACACTGGAGTTATTTGATAGTCATTTCCATAATTAGGTTTGTGGATTGCTGTTGTTCTTTGAGAACATTATTCTAAATGTTATGTGAGAAAGTGTTACATAATTTGGTTATGTAATTCTGGAGACACCCAAGGGTAAAGCAAGTGTACCTCCAGATACCAAGTACTGTAGAACTTCTCAGGGCCTTTGGTGTAATAATACAGGGGGAAGCTATGCTTCACGACACTTTCCAAACTTTGACCATGACCCTGTTTTCACATAGCAATTTCACAGGCTTAGTGCTAGGTGGAAAACACAACATCAGAGCATTGCCAATTAGACTCATCTGAGATCTGGAATAACATTTGTTCTCATCTCTATGGGGTGCTTTGTGCATATACCTGCTCGAAGGCAGAAGTATGAATGACCAATGTATGTTTCCTTCATGAATCATTGAGTAAGAAGAGCACTTTGCTTTCCTATCATTGACAAGGGTCCCAGAAGCTTGCAAAGATCTTTGTTCTTGCAAAGATCTCAAGTGACTTCTTAATTGCCAGATCCACTGAGGACTCTTCTGTTCCCACCCTGCTTCACTTCTCAGAGCTTTGACTGGTGGATCACACGTCTTCCTTCCTTAACCTCTTCACCCTCCCCTTCCTACTTTTCTTACTAATGATCTCTTAGTTCCCTTTCTTTTGTATACCACTTATTTACAGCATTTCCTAGATTTCAGTCTTATCTTTCTTCTGTTACTGTGAACACTCTCCAAAAATCTCATATAGACCCAAAACTTTAAAAATCAGATATTGATTTCCCCAAATCTTGATCTCCCTGCCCTGAGCCCAGATGTGTATTTGTCACTCTCGTGTTATAGACACCTCAGGCTTGATAATTGGAATTTTTCTTTATTGTGGGCATAGAACAGAGAACTGGCAGTCTACTCTCAAGGAAGGTCTTGGAGAGTTCAAAATGTCAAGACCACCGGGGCAAGTATACATGGCTATCAAACCCCAGGTAGGGTCAGAAATGGTGAACAGGCCAGACCAAGTCTGATTCTAGAAGCTCAGGGTAGAGAAACTTCATAAGGAAATGAGTCAGAAGGAAGGGGGCTTTCACTGAGAGCCTGAGGATGAGGTTAAGAGGGGAGCCCCTGGAGGAGTATGGGGCTCATTCCAGCCGGCCCCTGCAAAGTTAATGAAAATAAACTCAAACTGGTCATGTGCCCATGAAGGCTTCCTTAAGGCTACTCCACCTCTAATTTTTTAAAAAAATCTGAGTGAAACCCACCACTTTTTTCTCAGTTGTCCAAGGTAGAAATGCTAGATTATCTTTGGCTCCTCCTATCCTTTCATCTCCTGTATTTGGCCTTTTGCCAACACTGGTTCTTGGCAAGGGAAGGATCTTGCTGGAGCGTCAGTGTCCCGAGAGCTCTGTGGATGAGCAACGGCAGGCATTCTGCTCCTAGGACTTTTGTGTAAATACTGTTTGTGGGGTTGCTTCATCTTGAAGAAGAGAAAATTGAATATTGATTATTAACAATATCTGCACAAGGGGTGCAATATTTAAATGTTTCTACATTTGGAGCTTTTTCTTTTCAGCTGGGGTGGTCTTGATGTGGGATAGTGGTAACCCTAACCTTGCATTGTGTCCCACAGGTAAACAGGTGGGTCCTCTCTCAGGGTCCCCTCCAGCCTGCCCTCCACCACTTCCTCTAGGCTCTGGGCTGCCTCCCTTCACAACTTTCTTTGAACTCCTCTGTGTGTGGCTGGGTTTCCAACTTTATACTTTATTTGTTCTATCATTTTAGGTATCTTTCAAAGGTAAGCACATAACTCCTATTATCCCTACATACACATATATTTCAACTAATAAAAATAATGTCCCCCTTAAAGCTGCTGGCTCACATTAGTCCTTATTCATAAACAAGATTTCAACATCATCCCTGGAGCTTATGTGGAACCATGATGGGTAGTGAGGATTAGGCCCGAGTGAGGATTTGCACCAGCACACCTGCTCACCGTGTGCAGATCCTCCACCCTCGGCAAGGTCCTTCAGTCATGTTTCCACCTTACACTAAGTATAGTGTGTTGTGTTAGAATAGAAGGATTAGAATGATTTTTACACCTGTCTGTGAACTAATTAGGTGTTGTGAACTTTTCTTTGATTTTCGGTGCTTAGCACTATGTCCAGCACATAGACGATTCTCAGTTAAGCACTAATTTGAATCATCTCTTAGAGGATTTTTCGGTTCCAAGTGTCTGTAGGAGAACTTTCCCTGTTTGTAGATAGCTAGAAACCACCAGAGGAGACTTAATTAGCACACCAACTGCCTTTGTGGGTAGCCAGTAGTTAGAGGAAATGTATTTTCTTATGCTATCCAGAATAAACATTTACAAAACCATCTGGTGTGTTTGCTAGGCTCCAATTTCAGAGTGTTCACAGTCTGCCTTTTTTTTTTTTTTTTTTAAGAGAAAGAGAGAGGAAAAAGCAGCTTCTGACCATTAAAACCATTGAAAAATCCCTGCTATGGGGGATATGATATTAACTCTAATTATAACTCCAATAAATACCCTCACCAGCTATAACCCCAGGAAATTAGGAGTTACAAGACCAAGTTATGTAGCTAAGTGGAGTATAAATATTAGAGTATTTCTTTGACTTCTCAGTATAGTATCTTACTCATATCCAAACAGATTTGGAATAAATACAAGGATTGTACTTGACAAGATGGATATTCTCTAGGGTAAGGAGAAATGTCCAATTTACTTTTCTCAATTTTTCTTCCTGGGAATAAGCTTCCCTATTGATCTTGGCTCAGAAGTACCCATTGAACCTACTGAAAATAAAGCTTTTTTCTTCTGAAATAAATGCCAAGATTCATTCCTGTGCAAGTATTTCTTATGCCAAGTGGCTGTTAATTCAGGTACATAAAATTTCAGACTTATGTTTTGTTAGATTTTAAGAAATACAGCCGATGAGGATGTGTATTTTCTCTGGAACATATGGTAAAACATTTGGATATTCCATTTGCACCAGATGTTGCCTTTTATGTAACGGATGCTCAGTAAGTATTGTTGACTTATTGTGCATGTAAGACACAAGGAAGAACACTTAGGAGGATTTATAAATTCCTTAGGTTGTCATAATAATTTGACGTAACTTTATCTGAGGCTTCAGTTTTAAATATGGATTTTTCTTAGGATTACTATTCTGCTGTCTTACAATGTACCTGGAGATTTGAGCTTACCAAGTAAATAAGCCCACTTAAAATTTCTAACATTTATGAGATGATGATCAGTTTATGTGTTTTAATATTCTTTAATTTTCTTGCAGCCCAGTTCCTATCTCCTTCCTTCACATTCTGTTTCTTCTCTTTCCTTCTCCCTCCTTCCATCCTTCTCTGGCTGGAAGCCCATTTAATTTTCCAAGTCTCTTTGAATACAGGGCACAGTGTGCGGTCAGCCTTGCCCTGAGGGTCGCTTTGGAAAGAACTGCTCCCAAGAATGTCAGTGCCACAACGGAGGGACATGTGATGCTGCCACAGGCCAATGTCATTGCAGTCCAGGATACACAGGGGAACGGTAAGGGACACTCTTGTATTTCTCCAACTATTCATAATGGCATGGAGGAAAAGTTTGGAGTGTCTGGGAAGCATCTTCAGAACCATGTGTCTATAACGGTTACATAAGATTCCAAAAGCATCTGTTGAGTATTCATGTGTTTGAAAGATTTTATCCTAATTCAACATGCAGAAACTGAATCACAGTTAATGAACTGAAGATAATGGAGAAGATGGGCTTGGTGGCTCGTGACTATAATCCCAGTGACTCAGGAGGCTGAGGGAGGATGATCACAAGTTTGAGGTCAAACTTATCAACTTAGGGGGGACCCTGTTTCAAAATTAAAAGTAAAAAGGTTGCTTAGTGGTAAAGCACCCCTGGGATCAATCTCTAGTACAAGACAAAACAAAATAACAACAACAATGAAACCCAGAGAGAAATATCATGGAGAAAGGAGAGAGAGAGAGAGAGAGAGAGAGAGAGAGAGAGAGAGAGAGAGAGATATCATAAAATATCAGCTATTCAGAACTCAAGATGAATGTGTTATTCTGAAAAATTGAGTGTTCAGGATGCCATTTACATTTTAAGTATTTTTGGATCAATTGATTTAAAAATGGATGTATACTTAGGTACCTTTAAAAAGCATAAAGTTTACCTTTCTATGATATACCATTCTGTTAAGAATATTAGTCCTCCTACTATGTGATACCATGTGGTGGTGATAGAGTCAGACCCCTGGGACTCCAGGGTTCTCTGACCCACATGAAATAGGAGCAAGGGCTGGCTCAGGTGTTTCTTGCACCATGGTTTGTCATTTCCTGTGTAGGCGCTAAACTGTTACCTCAGGGTTTTGCTCACCCTACTTCTGATTTGCTCTTGATCTGTTTTATCCTAGAAGACTGGGGACTCAAACTTACTGGATGTGTATGTAAATTGGAGAAAAGACTCGACAGGCAGAAGGGTATAATGATTAAGAACAAAAGGTTTTGGAACCTGGGTTTAGGCCAGTGTGTCCTTGGAAATGACTCTATCTGTAATGTTCAAGTCGTAATTATACTTTACCCTAAGGGTATCATAAGAATGAAATTAGAAGTTAGTACATTAAAGCCTTCAGGCCTCAGGACAGTCCTGCAGTTGATACATACAGTTGTTGTTATAATTAAGTGATGTCTGTGAACTGTATAAAATTAGCTGTCATGGGTTTTGTGATGCCTGTGAATTAAAAATCCCTTTTGCCTCTCTCCACCCTCTTTTTTTCTAACATTCTATTTTATGACTTTTTTAATAAGTAGGGTTTATTTGTTTTTTTTCCCTTCCCACATACACCCTGAAATTTCTGATTAAATATATTTCTAAGAACTGTATGATTTTTAAAATTCCAATTCAGTTTTTAATTGAATATTTCTAGATAAAGAAAAACACTTGTGAATGTTTACTTTATAATTTAGTCACCCTGCCAAACTTCCAAATTAATTTTAATGTTATTTTTAGTAAACACTAAAATTATTTAGTTGTACAATTCAGTCATCTGCAGATTAAGTTGACCTTTTTCAATATTTATAGTGATTCATTTCATTTTCTGGAATTATTGCATGAATTTGAACCTCTGAATTAGCATTGACAAATTGGGGTCAACTTGGGAATTCTCATCTTCTTCCTAATTTTACTGGAAATGGCTTCAGTGTAATTGCATGTTTGCTATTGGTTGTTAGTAAATTGTCTTCTTTGTGCTTACATACTTTTTTTTTCCTTAGTCCCTATTTTTGTTAAGTATTTTTGCTAGTAGTATCAACCTAATTTTATTAAAAGCTTTTAAAAAATCTTTTGTTAGTATAAATTATATGTTTCCTTCAATTATTTGATGTTATGAATTATTGACACCTAGTACATAGTTATTTTATAACATGTAATTGGTCTACTCAGAATGTTTTCTTGTGACCAACAGCCTAATTCTAGGAAATATTTTAGGCAGATGAAGTTGTTAGGTAATTTTTATTATAGAAAAATGAGGGAGGACACAAGACCAAACCCTAAGTAATATTTTATGTCACATTTTTTGACCATTAAAAATTTCAGTGTAACTGTTTTATTGTCCTTTAAGGATTTAAATTTAAAATTAAAGACAAGCGAAAACAGTACACATACAAAACCAGTGAGCTTACACTCATTTGGAATATAAGGGAAGGAAGTAACAGCTGTTAGGTAAATTTTAAAAGCAAGGAAGACAAAAGTTACAGAGAAAGGAATGATGATAGAGCTTGCTTCTTGAATTATTGCTCTTATAACTACCGTTTTCTAAGGCACCAAGGCTGATGATGGTGTGATTCCTGTTTTCAATGGCTACCCCCATCTGGGTTCTAGAGTGAACATACATACCCACCACAATGACAACAAGCATATTTGTCATCGTGAAAGAAAAACAATGAGTGGGCTATGGGGCAGTTTGTGGCAGGAGGTGTGGGGGAGGAGACCTCAAGGGGCTTGACTTGAGAAGTCAGTATAACTTGACCACTGAGGTTAGGACAGATGGCTGCTGCTCCAGGGGCAGATCCCACCACAGGCAGTGGCCAGCAAAGCATTCTCAGGATGTGGGGACAGGCTCCTAGCCACAGGGAAGCAAAATACTGCCAAACAGGCACCTTGCAGTTGGTAGAGCTGCATGGGGCATACCCAAATGGAGGCTTTGGGGTTTGTGGAAAAGGTCGGGAGGATATTGTGGTGAGGGAATGTAATGTGGGGGAGTCAATTAAGAGTGAAGGAGAGGATGTTTGTAGATCCTCTCAGAAGTTCTTCTGAAGATGTTAAGAAAGTATGCCTCATTTAATGGTTTTATCACAGAATTGCTCTGGGGCCTTTGATACCCTAGCAATCACATAGGCACATAATGGGTGCTTAGTAAGGATTGGATGGATGAAGGAATCTGAGATTCAATAGTGGACTCTGTTAAGGTAGAGGCCCAAGGCAGTTCTGCCAAGCCTGTTCCATTTGATCCTAAACATGAAGATAAATGTGGATGAAAGGAGGTAGTCAGACATGGAAGCCAGGCATCAGGGAAGGCAGCATTGGTCTTCAGTGGAGGAGCTCTTTCCTGTCACTATAACTATGGAAAAGTTGGCTCCTTCCCAGAGCTTTTGATGTTCTCCCAGAGCAGCAGTTCCAGATGTCAGAAAGGCAGGCAGCTGACCCTCTAAGTCTAGGTTAAACGAGGAACATGATTCTCTCACACTGAATGATGATTGGTCCAACTATTCTGGTCACTCTAGGGAGGAGTGTGCTCAAAAGGACAAGGGAGGAAGGAGGATCTGCCACTCCTCACACAAACTTACTTCCTTCTTTTCAAGTTACAATGAGATGCGACATAATTATCAAAATGGCATCGAGACAAGTCTGTGATGCCACTGGTTTGGGAATTGGTGTCATGTTTTATTAGTGTACGTCTACCGAGTGCTTATTCATCCTTCCCAATTTCAAGGCATTATTTGAGATAAATAAAAGTAGATATAAAAAATTTCTATATTTCTATTTTGGTCAGTATTTATTAGTTCTCTTTCATTTCTCTTAAGAAAATGGATTTCCCTTTTCATTGTTTCCTGAGAGAAATTTTCTTGTTCTGTTTGGGGCCACAAGAGCAGTATGAAGGTCTTAAAACATGTTGAGCTTAAGATAAAGGAACCGTTCAGAAATGCTACTCCATGATGATGTTTATTTTCATGATGAAAAAAGTCCCATATACATGTATAGGATTATTATACGGTACCCTTTGATTTGGTGCAATTAAAATCGTAAGTTTTTAAAAGATGGAAAGTGTCTACTTCTAGAAAGACCTCCCGCCACCTTGGCGTGGTTGATGGCCTGAGTATTATTAACAGATGCTGACACAAGTACAGACTGATGGAAAAAGAACCAAGTTGAAATGATGGCTGCTTTCGAAAGTAAAATTCAAATGACTGTGTTATGTATTTCTGATACAAATTAGTAGTGTGTTTAATTACAGAATGAAAACATAAATATGGGTCAGAACCTGTTATTATGCATTTTGTTTTCCCAGAGAAAAGGAAATCTCTGCCAAGATATGATAAAATATGCACACTGGTTCCCTGTAATTTGGTGGCGGATACTTTTCAGGCTTTCTATCTTTACCACTTTCAACCACTTCTAGAACAGTGCTTTTTTTTTTTTTTTTAAACAAAGATGGAGTCATGCAGATAATCCAAAACTTAATATTTTGGTTTGTCTTCAAATCCATGTAAGAAGAGAAAGCAATATTATTTCACATTGCTTATCTTTCTCCTTTTGTTACTGACTTGCAAGGAAATAAAAACCAACAGGTTGTCAAGTTGTTTTGCCAGCTTTCAGTGGAAACCCTGATGGGGTCACAGCATTGAATCTAAATATTTCTTTCTTTACAGTTTATATCTTTAAGGAATAAACTAGATGACTTGGCTCATTAAAATTCCTTGCATGTTAAAAATAATGAGAACCTTTTGAAAGCCTGGAGCAGTGGCGCGCACATATAATCCCAGCCGCTTGGGAGGCTGAGACAGGAGAATCGCAAGTTCAAAGCCAGCCTTGGCAATTTAGCGAGATCCTTAGCAATTATTGAAATCCTGTCTCTAGGTGAAAAATAAAAAGGACGAGGGATGTGACTGAGTGGTTGAGCACCCCTGGGTTCAATCCCCAGTACAAGAAAAAACAAAACAAAAAATCTCTTGTCTAAAAATAGGTGTACTCATGTGTAACTCTAAAGAATACATTGGATTTTACTCCAAGTGTTAGCTCAGTTTCTCCAGAACTTCTCTAATGGTCTAGGAGTGAAGACTTTAACTGTTGACAGGTGAACCTAAAGATGTCTAGAACCAACCAAGCCAAACTTACAAGAGGAGGCCCTTTTCCTTGTCTCCATCACATTCAATATATGCTAGAGCCAGAGGCAACCAGAGAATTCCCAACATTTGTCCTCTGCTCTGAGAATCGTGGTTCTAGCAATCATACCCTGTTCAGGATATGCGAAACCTTGTAAAAAGGCTGTTTTGAGAATTTTTTTTTTTACTGTTTCTTTCCAGCATTCTGGAATTTGTTATCATGGTTTGTTGCTTGCATTATACAGATCTGAAAAATGCAATGCTGACCTACATTTTGACTCTGGGTCTGGCATGACTTGAGAGCCACATGGGAAGTGGCTGCTGAGACAAAGTGTACCCTCCTTGTGGTGAATGCTCAGCTAGATGAAACCCTGTCTCCCTCTCCCTTGGCAGAGAGCTCTCCTTCTGTTGTGGAGAGCCCCGTCACCGTCACCTCATCTCGCCAAGAGGAAACTTGGCTAACTCAAGAGCCACTGGCACTTTCTGTGGAGCAGCGATGAATAATTTTCTCTTTTCTGTCATGGTTTCCTCCAGCAACTCAGCTTCCCATCTCACCTACAGTGAGTCCTTCCACCAGGATGGAGCTCCAATGCCATTAAACAAACAAACAAACAATGAAGTAAAGTTTTGAGGTCTGATATTTTTCCTTGACCTTTGGCAGCCCTTCTTCATAACAGAGGACAATATCCCACTTGCCAAGAATATTGTTAGGAAACTCCAAGCCTCCGTATGATCTCCTGGCTGGGCTTCCCAGGTTGGAATAGAGGACACCTGAGCTCAGAATCCCCCAAACTTAAAAAGGGCATCTTCATGAGTTATTTAGCTTTCTAAATGAGATACAGTGATTCAACTTTGAAGAGAGTGGAGACATGGTTCAGGTTAAAAATTAATTTCTTTTTTTTTTCTACATAGAAAGCCAAGAGAATTAAAATTTACTATCAAATTTGCTACCAAGTTTTTCCCCCCCTTTGGAACAGGGGCCGCGTGCTTTTAAATTTCTTAATTATAGACTGTGACTAACATTTGGGCGATTGCTTTTCTCCCTTTTTTGGCACCTACTAAAGCACTATGTATGCCTCTGGCAAGCATTAAGTATGAAATTTGCTTCACGTCCTGAGCTCATCATTTTATTTTGCTTTGGTTAATTTCTTCGTTCAACAGTCAAAATGTTATCACTACTGTGTGGCCAAGTAATTCACCTCAATGCTTTTCTACCTATAATGGGAGAATTGCTATATAATAAGAAGTTCAAAAAGCAATTTTAATTTTTACATCATATAACCATTTTGAATAGATATCCCCCTGCCCACCCCAGTACTGGGATCAAACCCAGAGGCACTATACCACTGAACTACATCCCCAATGCATTTTCAAATTTTTATTTTGAGACAGGGTCTCACTCAATTGCTGAGGCTGGCCTTGAATTTGCAATCCTTCTGTCTCAGCCTTCAGAGTTGCTGGGATTACAGTGGTGTGCTTCTGCACCATGAGATGACTCGTTGATTTTCACCTGGCACTGACTAGTCTATCTACTGTCCCCATTTCTTGCTTGATAGGTGTCAGGACGAGTGCCCTGTTGGAACCTATGGGGTTCGCTGTGCTGAGACCTGCCGGTGTGTCAATGGAGGGAAGTGTTACCATGTGAGTGGTGCATGCCTCTGTGAAGCCGGCTTTGCTGGTGAGCTCTGTGAGGCTCGCCTGTGTCCAGAGGGGCTCTATGGCATTAAATGCGACAAGCGATGTCCCTGCCATCTGGACAACACTCACAGGTGAGTGTTGGCTGCCCCTGGAAGAATGTGTCCTCTCAAAGTTTTAAATTCAGTTGTCCAGGATTTGGAAACAGGGATTGATAGAGTTTGGCACCCTAAGACCTTTCCTGCCTCTGGGTTGTCCTGGGTAGGAATTAACAAATCCAAGGAGAACGTTTTCACTTAGTGATTGATGACCCATGTCAGAAGTACTAAAATTGTTAGATGGCCATTGGTCGACATTAAATTCTTTTATCTATTAATGGCCCCTGGCAAAAATTAAATTTGCTGAGATTAGTAGAACTCTTCCCTGAGAGAGGGATTCTGTGACATGCCTTTAGAAGCAAAGATTCAGGGRAGGAACAAGGGCTTATGCCAAGGTTAGGATGTAAAAGATTGTAAAACCATTCTCAGTGCAACATCTTTTACTTGTGCAAGTAAAAGGGGCTACAGAGAGGAAGTGGGAGGGTAGAAATTTTTTGCAAGTGTTTCACATTTGGTTGTCACCTGGGAAATACCTTTTCAGGATTGATTACTTTAACACAGAACCCACAGGGGTCTGTTAACTCAAAACTCTCTTGAAGAATTTGAGAACAGGAAACCACAAACCCATCCACCCTACTGTATCTAGTCTGCCCCTGAAAATATCTCCCCACCAATTCTCTTCTTTTTCTTCCTCTAAGGACCAGAAACACATAACTTAGAATTTGGGGCCTTATTTGCAGATTTCTGGAAAAGCTGCATGTGACTGGATGTTACTAGAATTACTTTTATTTGCATTCAGCCCAGATATTGCTTCATTTATACAACTGAAGATAACTCATGGCTGCATGGAATCCCAAAAGCACAAGAATTAAAAGTAAACAGAAATATGTGGACAGTCTCTCTTCCTTAATCCATTGTTAGGAACCAAAAACAAAAACCAAGCAATAACAACAACAACAACAAAACCCTTGTAGTGTGTGTGTGTGTGTGTGTGTGTGTGTGTGTTTATGGTGGAATATGTTTAAGTGTGACATATCAAAGAATTGTATTCTTAATGTGATTCAAGTAACTTTTTGTAAGCCGAGTTAGTCAACTTCTGGTTTTGCTCATTGGAAAATGTTGTCATTCTTTACATGACAGGCTTAGGTAAACATTTGGGAGGGTAAAAGTGAATAATCTCTGAAAGGTTTTATTTGTTTTTCAACTCTAATATTTAAGAAGGTAGTTGGATTAAAGAAAAAGTCATAAGTTTGACTTCCTTTCCTACAGTATAAGATTTGTTGCAGTGAGAGGTAAGTGTCCTGTAGTATTAGCCAAGAGCATTGTCCATTGTGCTTTGCTGTATGTAGATACAGCTGAAGCATATAGAACAATAAACCTGTAGAAAGAAAGAGCTCTGCTATGAGAACAGTTGGAGAAACCGAGATAATATTGATAGTGGCAAGATGCAGGTGGAGAGTGATTTGATTGATGCCAATCCTGTGATAATTGTGACACAGGTCATGTGTAACTAAGTATGTTTGCTTTAACAAAGTGTGTGAGATTATCTACAATCATATAGATCAAACAACATGAAAATCAGTCTAATAATGTGTATAAAATAGAAGATTTTAAAAGTCTATATTTCCCTAAATCATGAAAGCTGTTTTTGAAGATTAGCTTTTACACATTTCTATTAAGACACATTGAATATTGATTATATCGTTCTATTTTTTTGAACTCACAGTTGTAGCCATTCATTAATTCTTGTATCTTGACTATTCATTAGTTCTTTTTCTTGTGGTTCTAGGGATTTAACAAAGGGTCTCACACCATGCTAGGCAAGCACTCTTCCACAGAGCTATATCTTGAACCCTTGCTAATTCCTTGTATGTTGAACTTCCATTTAAAATTCTTGGAAACACAAGTTCCCTTCAAACCAAAGGCATGAAATTCTTGTTTTAATTGAAAGTCTAACTTGTTCACTTACCACTTAATCAAGCAAGTTGAGCTGTGCTGTTACATAATTCATGATATATGTTTATCCTAAAGCCTTTCATTATAATTATTGAGAAAACTAATGCAATTTAAATTAATAGTTTAGATTGTCTTTAGGTAAATTTTTATTTCTATGAATCTACATATTGATATATATTGTGGCCATATATTTGGGTAGAGGTTTGTTTGTATTGATTAGCTTTTGCTGCATCGTAAAAAAACAAACTCCCTAAACTTAGCACAAAACAGCATTTGCTGATGATTTTCTGATTGGCTATTTGGACTGAGCTCAGCTTTGTGGTTCTTCTGCTGGTCCCCCTGCAGCTGGCAGGTTGACTGGAAGCTGATTGGTCCTGGATATTCTTACTCACACGTGTGGCATTTGGCTGGGTGATTGTAGTGACTGATCCACATATCTCCAGCATCTTGCAGGCTAGCCTGGGCTTTTCTACATCATGACTGGTTTCTAAAAACAGCACTAGACAGGGCAAGCACCAACATGCAAACATATTTCAAGCCTTGGTTTTGTCATGTTTGCTAATGTTTGTTTATAAGACAAAGCAAGTCCAAACTCAACACGCTCCACCTCTTGATGGGAGAAGTTACAAAGAATTTGTAACTATTTTTATTTTGCAATCAATTATAAAACTGAAATGACTTTGAATGTATTTATAACCAATATTGCTACTTTGAATTTTAGCACTATTGTTGAACCTGAAGACATTTCACTGTGACTTTTCAACTTAAAACTAACTTTTGTGGTGGAAATTATTTTTAACAATAAAATAAAATTTGATATTTAATCAAAAGCCTTGTGGGATATGTATATTAGCTCTTGTTAATAAGGACATTCAATAGCCATTGGCAATCAGGATATGCCTCTTAGTAAATGCCACTTAATTGCCATTGCCTTTGAGCATTAATAACAGCTAAGGAAGTGAATTAAAGGAAGTTCAATGACTCATTCTGTTTAAGCCAGGATTATACAGTCTAATACTAGGACTGTTGCTATAATTTAGCTATTAAATTGAAAACTTACTAGAAAATGTGTATTAAGTTATATCTGTATATGAAATGACAAATATTCCCCTATGTGTATAATCCTATTTTTATATACGAAAAGCAATCTGTTCTTTAGATGGAAAACAGATATTGAGTGTATCACCCTTCAACCTCTAGTCTGCTGCTCCTACATAAACACGTAAATCTCATTACCAATTAAGCTGCCTGCATGAGAACACATCAAATGCCTCCAAAGTGCTCTGGCTTCCTACATCTAATTACAAATTGCAGAATACTAATTTTGGTGTCAATCAATCTGAGAACCAGTGTGCTGCATTCCTACTCACTGGGGGGCATTGAATATCAATTTCTCTGTCTGCCTCTCTCTCAGTTCAATTCTCTGTCCCCAGATGATCTATTTTGTTTAATATTTATGCCTAAGTTGTGAATGTAAACCAATGTTTCTCACCAAAAATGTCCTTTTTTATAGTATAAGGTAAACTACCTAATCCATCACTTGAAATATTTTCTGTTCCTCTTTTTAAATGTAGTGCCTYATTGAAGTAAATTTAAATTTGACTGTGTTTGCTTGCAGGGGCTGATGACCTCTTATCAGTGCAAAAGCCAGAACTTTAGCTCTTCTTTTTTATATCTAGTTCCCCATGCAGGCTGCAAGTGAACTTGCTTTCTTTGGTATAAAAAACGACAAACCTGAGTTTAAATTTGATTCTGTCACTCTCTGTTCGAACAAATCTTACACTTTCTAGGCCTCTATTTCCTTGTTTATAAAATGAGATCATGCATTATGTCYCCGGAGAAAAGATGTGTCTGAAGGAGGGTCCAAGGAGTTCCTGGAGAAAAGGAGAAACTTGACTTAGGGCCAGGGGGGTTCTTGGCATTCACAACAAGAAAGAATTCAGCATGGGCCAGTCAAAGSCATAGACAGAGCTTTCTTTAGGACAGTAGACACATATTTAAGGGAGAATGAGAACAATCTCAAGAGATACCTTTTGGGTAACGTAAGGAATACATATTCAAAGGAGAATGCAGATCCATCTGCAGAGGAAGAGACGGCAACCCACTGGTGTGAGTGTTCACATTTATAGAGTTGCTAGGAGCTGGTTTAGAGGTGACACCAGGGAAGAGCTTTACAATTTCACACCAGTTTTCCCTATTTTTGCAGATTGCCCTCATATTACAAAGGCATGTCACTCAGGAGTTGCAGGTGTTTATAGGCCATATCTGAATTTCAGTGATTCATGGGCACTTCTGTTGAGACCCAGTCTCTCTTTATTCCCAAATGATTATTTCAGTCATGAGGATGGGATTAAATAATGCACATGGAGTGTTTATCAGAGTGGCATCCATTCAGAGCTCCATAAATAGTAGCTGCTGGTCTGTGCATTCACATATAGTATCATCATAGATGCCACAGAAGTGTGTTCTACAATAAGTAGCAATTCCTTTTAATACTAACTTTAGGGGAAGCCTCAATTTATATGCAGGTACATTGATTATTATTTAGCATTGCTCAATGGCAGAGATGTCAGAGAGGAGCAGATCTGTGTCTGAAAGTTAGATCTGGAGTCAGATCTGCTATACATCAACTGTCATTTTCATTTATTCACTCAGACTTTATGGTACACTGAGGACAGGGAGAAAAATAGACTGAATTCTTGCCCTCATAGAACTCATATTGTAGGGGGGAAGGAAGTTGTGAAAGTAAACATAAGATTACAAATTGTGAAAAAGGGAGATTAAGAGAAAGATCAGAGTGCAATAAAAGAGAAGAATCAGAGGGACTTCATTAAAATTTTGGGTGGTGGTGGGGGGTGATGATGGTTGGAGCAGACCTCTCTGAAGAAGAGATGTGTAAGCTGAACCTGGCAAGACAAGATGGAGAGAGATAGGCAAAGAGTAGGGAAATTCCCTTCCAGCAAAACAGACTAGCCCATGGGAGGCCCTTAAGTTGACAATGCTTGATGCTTTTATAAGCTAAAAGGAACCTAGTGTGGTCAAACATAATAATAAAGAGGGAACAATGATGAAAGGAGAGGTGGAGAAGAGACAGTGGCCTGATGCTGAGTGTCACTGGCTATATTTAGGGGACTATGTATCTGTTTTGACAGGACGGGATGTAAGTATGAGCTCCCTATTCACTCTTTAAAATGTCCTGGTTTAAACAATAATTAAATAGTGACACTAGCTGTATTAAACCATGTGGATCTTGTTTTAAGTGAAACTTTGAAGAGTTTTCAGGAGAATGACATGTTTTCCTGTTTAGGGAATGAGTCTGTGTGCAGCAGGGAGAAAGGATATTGGGCTGATCAGAAGCTGGGGAGGTCTGGAACTGGCATGGAGTAGAATAGTGACATTAAAGAGGAAGAGATGTGGATAGATTCAAAATGCATTTTGGCGTTGGAATGGATAAGTTCCAGTGATGAACTTTTTCTGCTCCCAAGAAAGCATCTCAATTACAGAATTGCATTTGAATGTTTCTTTAGGCCATATTTTATGAGGATGTTTATGATGGAAGCCCAGGTTTATGCCTATGGGCCTTTAGTTGAGGGGGGGGTCTAAAATTTAAACAAATTTCTGAAATTTAGGATGAAACCATTCAACCTATACGCTTTTTCTGAAGAAGGAGGAGGAGGAGGAAGAGAAGGAGGAGGAGGAGGAGGAGAAAAATAAACGTAGAACATGAGATTATGGGTTGTGGCTGAGACCCTTGTTTGACAGATGAGTCATTGGGCCAGGGGAGGTTATGTGCCTTCACTGAGGTTACTGAGGCAGTGCAAGAAGTGGAATTACATCCTCAGCCTTCACCCCTTCTAGGCCATCATTCTTTCCAGGAGTAGAGAGTCCATGAGCAGTCCTGTGATGAGAGGTCATTTAGCAAATTCTGGATGCCACTCAGGACTTTGCAGTTTGCCTTAGTTAAAGGGGGGCTTGAGTTCCGTCAGGGGAGGAAGATCATCTTTGAACAGGCTTCCAGTTGTCCATAGAGCTAGTGTGACTGTTAAGGTTTTCCTCTGGGGGGAAGCACATGTGTTTTGGTCCAGTGTGCCACAGACTGCCCTATTGTGTCAGACTCACATCCACGTGCATCTTAGCACAGCTGATGTGTCCATTTGCTCTGGAGCAGCAGCTGGCCGCCTGGCCGGGCAATGTGGCTGCTGTTTCAGGTAGCAACAGCTGCTCTGCTATCAGGTAGAGGGAGCTGAGTGGAAAAACAGATTCACAAGGCCACGGTTTCTGGAGATCCTTGGACTTCACACTGGTTAACTGATGAGGTATTGTCATTGGGATGGAGTTCTTCAGTGTTTCTCATAGAGATGGCTTCTTATTGAATTGTTGCGTTCTGTTTTAGAAACTTTAAAGAATTTCAGATGAACAGATGGAGTTGTAATAGTCATCATTCTAGAGCATGATGTTGATTTCATACATTTCTGCAGTATCAATTAGGTTTCAGCCAATTAATTACATCACTCCAAGCCTGGGAATGAAGTTTAAATTAGTGTGCATAGAATTACCCACACATCCTTTAGTGATCATGGCTAGAGCAACATTTGCATGGGCCTTGGGTGTCATGTTTACCCCAGAGTGATTTGTTTCTTTTATCCATGTCTTTCAGCTGTCACCCCATGTCTGGAGAGTGTGCCTGCAAGCCGGGCTGGTCAGGACTCTACTGTAATGAGACATGCTCTCCTGGATTCTACGGGGAAGCTTGCCAACAAATCTGCAGCTGCCAGAATGGGGCTGACTGTGACAGTGTGACTGGAAAGTGCACCTGTGCCCCAGGATTCAAAGTGAGTGACTTGGGCTCTAGAGGCAGGAGAAGAGGGATGTGGAGCATAACAACAGCATGATTTGTACAACCTGCTGTAAAGAACAGTGAATGTGCTCCAGTTATTCTTATTCATGAATAAGAAGAGAATAAGGATAAAGTATGAATAGAGACATAAGTATTGACCTTGGAATGATGATGGGAAAGCCAGCAAAACTCTCAACATGTCATTAATTTTTCATATATGAATATACCAGGAAATATAATGCATTATAATTATTCATTAAGTAATTATTTTGCTGTGCTTTTATAGGCAACAAAGAAGTTTCTTTTCCAAGTAGATTAGTTATTATTGTTGACAGTTATTCTTTTAATTCAATGAAATTTGAAGACACAACATACATCAAGTTATCATTTATTATGTATTAACATTCCTTTTTTCTATTTTTTTATTTGTTTTAATTAGTTACACATGACAGTACAATGATCTTGAATGTATTAACATTCTTTAGTTAGTTGCATATAGTAGTTAGGTTCCTTTTTCCTTTGAGAACCAAGACTCTACAAATATACCTGTATGCTAACACAGCAGAATTTTGTCTATAGTTTCTAGAGTTTCTTACCTATAGTTTAGGGATCTTTGTTTTAAAGGAAAATGTGTTGTTTGGAATTATTTCCTCCCATTTTAAAGAAGAGAACATGGGACTGTGACGAATGTTTATGGTATTCCTGAACTCATCATGTGGAACTGGCAGGTCATGCAGTCACAGAGCTGAAAAGATCTTTTCAGGGTTTGCTAACCTATGTCCCAATTCTTTGAGCCCTTAATTAGCCTTAAGAGTTCCTCCTTTATTTTAATTTTTTTTAAAGATATGCCCTTCAGTCACTTTGGTAGTAAGCCAATTCTGTGTTTAATGCTGGCAGATAAATTGAATTGCCCTGCTAGCTGAGTGTGTTCTATTTCTTTGTTTCACCCACTACAAACATTACATATTATACAAGGATGTCTAGGAAGCATTGGGAACTAATGGATAGTTCATATTTATGCTTGTATATTTACTGGTGGTAATTTTACAGCTACAATTTGTTTTTATTTATTGACTTGTCTGAGCAAGGACAAAAGGTTTATTTTTTAGTTATGCTCTGAAGGCAAATCTCATGAAGGCAGCAGACTTTTGGATCCCATTTAATATTCTATCCTAAACAGAGCACCAATAGTATTACCCTTGCATCTCTAAAATTTATATAGTGGTGACATTATAGCAACTTTTAAAAAATGCAATGTGTTAAAATTAGAAAGGAAGCATAATTAGCACCACCATGATATACTTTTGTTTATTTGTGTTGTCCTGATTTCAGTCAGCAAAATTGCCTGCCTTTTGCTATTTGTGCCTGTTTAGGGAAGTGACTGCTCTACCCCATGCCGGCAGGGCACCTATGGGATAAACTGTTCCTCTCGATGTGGCTGTAAGAACGATGCTGTCTGTTCTCCTGTGGATGGGTCTTGTACTTGCAAGGCAGGTAAGAGTGGGTGAATGAGTTTTTTAAAAAATTTAATCCTGGTCCTGTTATCATCTAAAGTCATGGGATAGAAATCTTGAAGAGGGTTCTAGCTGTAGTTGCATCAAAATTCAGTGGCTGACCTCAGCAAGCCCCTCATCCCTTGTAGGTCTAACGCCTTCATGAGTCAATGAAAAGAGGCTTACATTAGATGGTCTCTGAAATTGCTGCCAGCTTTAGAAGTCTGCGAGTCTTTGCTTTGGGCAAGAGTAAACAAGCAGACGTGTGTCTGTGTCCCCAAATTGACTGACCTGGAATCATGACAAGAAATGCAGCCAAGCACAGATTCTATGTGAGGCCCAGAACGTGTCCATCCGTAGATGGAGCCAGGATCTTGGATACACATTGTTCATGGTTAATGGGAACCCGCTTCAAAGATGGGGTTGTTTTTTTTTTTTTTTAATTTTTTCCCAAGCACAAACTTTCCTCTTCACCCACATAGTTTCTGATCTGAATGAAATTCAGCTTCCACAGTGGGCATCATTGCATGTCAAAGGAGCTCCACTCCATAGCTCTTCTCCAGTGGCTCAGTGGCGCTCCTCCGTGTTGGCATCCTTGACAGGTCACATGGCACACACGGATGTTTGGGTCCTCAGGGGTGCCTTTTGTTCCTTGCTGATGGAGGACTTCTGTAGCAGAGCCATGGCTCGGTATGGCTGGGCTGGGGCGGAGAGGCACTGTGATGCATCTCCAAGATGCTTCTGGAGGGAAACTTGGCTTGGAAAGTCACCACAAGCCCCTGCTGCCTTTGTTTCCTCATTGCTCTGGCGTTCTTGTTGTGCAGGCTGGCACGGGGTGGACTGCTCCATCAGCTGCCCCAGTGGCACCTGGGGCTATGGCTGTAACTTAACATGCCAGTGTCTCAACGGGGGAGCCTGCAACACCCTGGATGGGACCTGCACGTGTGCACCTGGATGGCACGGGGAGAAATGTGAACTCCCCTGTCAGGTATGCCAGCTCTGCCTGGGAACTCCTGGGAGGAGCTGATGCCAAAGGGTTGGCTTCTATCTGCAGTTTTCCTGATTTAAATTGGCTGAATGTGAACCGACCTTCAGTAATTATTAGAAGAATCAAAGTGTTTGCATTCAAATTGAACATAGGATTGGGAAAAGATAGGAAAGACAATTGGTTAGGTAGACTGTATGAGAATTCTTTCTTCTTTTCTCTTATCTGCACCCTGTTTTCCCACTCTGACACAAAGAATTTTCTCTGTTTCTGAAAACACTCATCTCATGGTGGCAGCCAGTTAGCAACCCTGGTCAAACACCCAGTGTATGCTTGTCATTCTCCAAATATTTTGTTTGCATTATAATGGAAATCCCTTAGCCTTTGGGATGAGAAGTGACAGGGGGGCTGAAAAGGGGTGGTGACTGGCGTCACAGAAATGCTTACTGAAGTGATGAAAGAAGGCTTGGAAAAGGCATGGTTTAATGTAAATATCTCTGTGGTTGCAAGAATCTCCTGAGATTTTCCAAGTTCAACATTCACTCCACTTCATTCCCTTGACCTACTTTGAAGATGTGCATCATTAGAAATTATATCCACCCCGGCTGACAGAGGGTGCAGATGGGAAGTGTTTTCTGTAGTAACCTGCCGATTTCTTTCTTTCCAAAGCACTTGGCTGGTTCCTTTCCCTGGCTTCCATCATTCTTTCTTCCTGTCACAATTCTTTTCTCCTGAGCCATTAAGCATTCTCTCAGTGGTGTGTGTTCTYTGCCTCCAGGACATCATCAGATGGCAAGATAACAATGTGACCCCTTGAACTGGGCCCCTTGAGAAGGGACTTCCACGGAGGCTCTTCTCTCTCTGGGCTTCCTCCTCATTAAGTCCAACCCACTTCCCAAAGTAGAGAGGATTCCCAGCCTGGGCTTTTCCTGCTCTACAAAGCCCCAGGACAGAGTTAAGTTAGCTTTGCTGATTCTCAGAACAATAAACAAATAATCAGTACTTAGAAACAGGCTGGAAGGTCACCCACGTTGGCTTGTGGACAAAGCAAAGCCCCAGGCACAACCTTGTCTTTTTTTTGGATGTTAGATGCATTAGTAAATTAGGGAAGGCTGATAGTTTAGGGGTTCATAACATAGTAGAACTAAATCCTATGTAGCTTTATCAAATATTAGTGGGGCCTATAAAAGGGTTTAGTTTGTTAGTTTAACCAGTTCTAAACAAATGATTATGCCATCTAACACCCACTGACTGTTCATGCTGGTTCTCCTGTTCCCCTGTGGTGACAGTGTGTGCTCTCTGTTTTCCTTAGTGCCTGTGTGGTATGGGGAGGTTTGTAGCATCTTCCCTCAGTTCCCAGGTATAGAAGTGAAAGAGCAAGGTTTTCCCTGCAAATGCAAAGCTTTCCGTTTTTTCCCCCATAAATGAAATGATCATGTCCACCAAGAGTCTCATCTCTGTTGGGTTTCCCACACCAACACACATTTAGGAACCCACCTAACTGCAATGGGAAGAGGAGGAAGGTGTGCCATCACCACCTTAGGACTTTAAATTAGAATGTTTCATGTGGTGTTGACTTTTTATTGGAAAAGAGGATATTAGACAAAAGTAACAAAAGATTTTTATTTTTCTATACCATGCATCTCATTGACAACTTAGGGAAATAAATGTAATGCAATTAGAACTATAATTATTTTTAATGTTATAGCTTATTTATGTGGGCCAGAGTTCTCCTTTTCTGCTTAAGAAAGGAATGCATTGTAGGGAGCACTGAACTATGTTATAAAAATCTTTTTTAGGAACAAAGAAAATATTTTTATGAGTTGTGGCTTATGATTTTTTAAAAATTAACCAGCATATTTACATATATTGCACACATGCCCACCAGCATATTGGTAAACTTGGTTTTACCATTCATCTGTCCCAACCATGATGTCAGTTATCAACCAGAATTTGAAAGATTTTTGAATACTGATGTTCTGAAGCCTACATTCTGAGAACCAAGAAGATCTGGGACTTGGTGATTGTAATGTGCGCTCCTGAGAGGTGTTAGGGGAATGGGGTACTGTATCCAAAATGTCTGGCCGTGGCCCTTTTGCCTCCAGGTTCTCATTGCTGTCTTTGGTGCCTTCTTCCTTGCAGGATGGTACGTATGGGCTCAACTGTGCTGAGCGTTGTGACTGCAGCCATGCAGATGGCTGCCACCCCACCACGGGACATTGCCGTTGCCTCCCTGGATGGTCAGGTGAGAGTCCAGAGTCCTTACTTGGAAGGGGAAACCTGCCAACGTAATGACCTATTCTATTCCTTACTCTTTCAGAGAAATACACAAGTCGACTTTTCAGAGAATATAGTAAAATCTTCAGTAAGCCAACACATTTGTACCCAGGAAATGTCATCACTAGGTGTAATTAATCTGCAACCCGCCCCCACCCTGTGCTGTTTTTTGTTGTTGTTGTTGCTGATTTGTGCAGGGTCAGTTTTCTTAATCATACATGTAGGTTCCAATTGCTGGAATTTAGGCAACAAGATGGGAGAATGTGAGTCGCTATGAAGAGCTCAGAAGGAACTCTAATGGTATAATTGGGCTTTGAGAGGAAGAAAGGTTGAAATAAACCCTAAGAATATAACTAGGTCAACCTAGTGAGATGAAAATATTAATATTAATAAGGTTACTAGGCAAATACTTAAGTATTCTTTCCTAGAAATAAAAGTCTTAAAAACTTTCTTTTTCTCACAATTATGTTGGAGTCATGACAAATTTATGATATGGTTGAGTACAAATTTTCTAACCACAGCATGGGAATTTCTCTTTATTTATGTGGCTTCCTGATTTTAGCTAGGAAGTTTATCAAGCTAACAGTGGTCCCAGAAGAAGGATGATGATTTTGCTCATGATCTACAGACTTGTTTGTACATTTAGTGCCATCTTCCGAGTCTGTAAATCATGAGCAAAAACACCGTTCTTCTTCCAGGACCACTTTATATTCCCACCAGCAATGAATGAGGGGTCCAGCTTTTCCACAATCTTACCACATCTGTCTTTTCTATTACAGCAGGGGTGTCTCATTGTGGATTACTTCTGTGTTTCCCTGATGGCTTATGATGTTGAGGATCTTTCCATGCATTTATTAGCCATCTGGATATCTTCTTTGTAAAAATATTTATTTACATCATTTGCTCATTTTTAACTTTTTAAATTATTGAGTTGTAACAATTCTCTGTATATTTTAGATTGATATTCTTTTTTATTTATGATTTGCAAGTGTTTTCTCTTGTGAGGATGTGTGTGTTTTTACTTTCTCAATGGTGTCCTTTGTATCGGAAAAGTTTTTAGTCTGAGAAAATCCATTTTCTCTCTTTTGTAAATTTTGGTGCTTATGCTTTGGTGTTGAATTTAAGAAATCATTGCCTAATTCAAGGTCAAAAAGGTTTGTGGCTTTCTTGTAAAAATTTTGTAGGTGTAGCTTTAGGTTCATTTTGAGTTAGGTTTTTTTTTTTTTTTTTGATGTGATATGCTGAGGGGATCAAACTTTATTCTTCTGCATGTGACTATCCAGTTGTCCAAGCACCATTTGTAGAAAAGGCAAATTCTTTCCTCAATGAATCTTCTTGACATCCTTTGTCAAAATCCCATAAAAAGCACATGAATGTAAGAAGGGTTTTTCTGGATTCTCTATTCTATCCCATTGGTCTATATACTCATCCTTATGCCAGTACCACACTGTTTTGATTACTATAGCTCTTTAGGAAGTTTTAAAATTGAGAGATGTGAGTCCTCCTGCTTTTTTCTTTTTTTGGGGGGGGGGTAGGTACCTGGGATTGAACTCAGGGGCACTAAACCACTGAGCCACATCCCCAGCCCTATTTTGTATTTTATTTAGAGACAGAGTCTCACAGAGTTGCTTAGTGCCTCTCTTTTGCTGAGGCTGGTTTTGAACTCACAATCCTCCTGCCTCAGCCTCCTAAGCCGCTGGGATTACAGGTGTGTGCCATTGTGCCCGGCCCTATAGCTTCGTTTTTTGTTGTTGTTATTGTTGTTTTTCAGGATTGTTTTGATTGTTCTGGTTCCTTTGAATTTCCATAGGAATTTTTGGATCAACATATCAATTTTTACAAAGGAGCAAGGTGGAAATTTAGTGGGGATTCAATCTATAGATCAATTTGGGGAGTATTGCCAACTTGGCCATACTCAGACTTCAGATGCATAAGCATGGGATATTACAGGCAATCTTTTCAGGGTTATCTGTCAGATCCTTAGGATTTGTTGAGAGTTTCTTTACTTTGTGATAGGAGTAAACTGAGATGAATTGTCATGAGCTGGATTTCTAGTGTCCGAGAGCCACCTTGGGAAAGAGGCCAAGGCTGGTGCCGTGAACTTCATTTTCTGTTGGTAGAGACCACCGACAGAAGACTTCCTGACCTCATGGTTCCTTCTTGACTTGCAAAACTCTGACTTTACAAAATGAAAATTCTACCTTTCAGTTTCTGTTGAGTCTCTGTTTACCCCATGTTAAAACTGAATCACACCAGGGATTAAACTGGATTTTGTTACCCGAGTTCTTGAAGTCCTCAAATGGACTGACCGGTACTAATTTCTCAATGACCACCATTAAGCAAAACAACATTTTGAACTTTCTGGCCAATTCAGAAGTTTTCTAACTGAGAGGCCTCATCATTTGTTTTGGGTCATCTGCTACCAAATCCACTTTTGTCTTATGAATCTATACAAGTGTAAGGTATCCTGGAATACCTCATCAGTACTCAGGTGTCCACCTGCTTTGATTTAGACTGAGCCTGTGAAAGGCACACACTAGTAGACATGGGAAAAGCAAGAGATGATTTGGCCTGAGGCCAGGCGGAAAATGTGTTGGTTGCATTCCACAGTCTGGGTCATGGGGTAAGACAAATGATCGCATCTGGCCTTAGACCTATCAAGCTCCTGCGGGAATGCAGTGGCTTTGTCACACAACGTAATCTTGTAATCCTCTGTCCATCTGTGACTGGCTTGCTTCTCTAAAAGGCACAGGGCTCTATCTCTTATTGCCCACTGTGTCTTTGCTACATGGCCTGTGTGTCTGTATTGTTCCTAGGCCAGCTCAGTTGTCCCAGTGCCTCATTTCTTTGGGACCTCTGTTGTGGGCTGTTGATGTGCAAACATCTGTCAGTATCTAAGCCTGCGTGAGTTTGTCTGCCACACTCACAGAACCCAGTTGGTACAAGCAAACATATGTAGAGGAAAATAAAATTCCAAAGCTTCAGAAAGACCATTGGACCAAGATTTGGCTTAGTTTTCTCAGAGGACAGAGCAGCTTGTGTGTATTATTTACACAGGACATCATTTTGTTGTCGACACTGGACAGACTCATGACCTTTTGTTGATAAACTTGTCGTCAGTATTTTCCTGGTTAGGGCCTTTGTCAATAGAGAGAAGGCTTCACTTTTCATCTAGGCACCAGATGGGGGCCACACCGTGAACAGAAGACCAAGGAAGCAAGTAGTTCTACTTCCTCTCCTCTCGCCGCCAAGATGGCTCTAGTTGACACATTGAGCATCGCCAGATAGGGTGGCAGCGTGGGTATAGCGGCAAGGTTTCTTGAAGACGTCAGAGAAATCAGCACGGGGGTCTGGGCTCTACCACTGGCCATGTCCAGATGGTGTGAAGTGCTTGTTTCATGATCAGCTGGTTTGGAGCCATGGTAAGGGTGAGAGAAATCAACAGGCCTGTGTGGTCATCACCACTCATAGCTTCACCCTGTCATCAACTGGCTGTTTTCCTCCTCTAGGACAGTGGCCAGAGGCTTTTTATTTATTTATTTATTTTAAAATTTCTTTTATTTCACTATAATTGATCGTCCCTACTCACAAAAAGTCTTCAAAATGTGCTATTATGAAGATAACCAAAACAAAAGCTGCATGATACCTCAGCAACTGTTTCCAAAAGAAGATCACCAATTTTTTTTGAAAATAAGGATGTGCACTTTTATGATATGTGGTTATTTGAAGCCCTAATTTATTAACATTTTCAGCTATTGGGCTTTTTTTACTGATTTTTGTTTTTTGTACTAGGGATTGGACCCAGTGGTGCTTTACCACTGAGATATATCCCTAGTCTTTTTTTTATATTTCATTTAAAACAGGGTCTCACTAAGTTTCTGAGGCCTCACTAAGTCACACAGACTGGCCTTGAACTTGTGATCCTCTGTCTCAGCCTCCTGAGCCACTAGGATTACAGGCCTGTGCCCCTGCTCTTGGCCTCAACAGACTATTTTTGTTTCGTTTTTTTAAAGAGGCAGACTGCAGTAGAAAAACAGGGGAAAAGGAAATAACGTCAAGGACATGGGCTATGTCCTGAATTCCTCCTATACCATTGCTACACACACTCACACACATTCCACATGCACACACACACATAACATACCCATGTGTAAGCACACATACATACCCACTGCTATAAAATGAGACTGGCTTTTCCAAAGTCATTCTGAAATTCTACTTGTCAATATTAGTTTTATATAGATAGATATATAAATGTATATGTGTTTTCCTAAAGTAATGGATTGATATGCTCTATAAAGTATTTCCTGAAAGTGACAGAAATATATTCAGTCAGACAGAACACCTATTTGCTGAGTATTACAGCTAATCACGATTTCATTCCAGCTGTCTGGGGACACATGTAATCTGTAGCCTGGTCTCCAGTTCTGGCTAAGATCACCATCACCTGGGAACTCTTTTCACTTGCGTATTCTCAGTCACCACCTCACACCAACTGAGTGAGAATTTGTGGGGTGGGAAAGAGGAGAAGATAAAAGGGGAGGAGGATGGAGCCCCCACAGGTGCAATTTTGTACAAATTTGGAAACAACTCGGAAATCCCTCAGGATGCACTCTTTAGCACAGGGGGTGAGGGCTGGATGTCTGCCTGATTTAGCTCCTTGGCTGGGCTCTTCTGCTGCATACAACCTGCACAGCCTTACTTGACAGCCCAGTCTGTCATGTTAAAAGTTACCCAGTAGTCTAAGCAGTACAGTTACCAGTATGAAGAGTGGCTTTGCTGCTCCTTGTTACTATAATTATTGAAGAACTTGGGGTGCAGGGGGCATTTCTGTGACACAAGAAAAACCAATGGTAAAGAGAAGGTTTCAATATGCATTTACACTAGAATAAAAGTTGAATTCTGAACTGTCAGAAAAGAGGTCAGGACACCAAAGCAACCTCTTGGCCTCTTGGGAATGAGAGACTA